ACCAAAACTATTCCCATATTGGGGGGTTGCTGCTCGCCTGTAGAAGGAAGGCTTTTATTTCACGATCATTAATAAGTGATGATTGTTTCAATGAAACACAGATAAAGCACGGCAGCTGAACAACAAGCTGTAAAAAGCTTAACTCCCTTATTTTAATGTCATAAAATTCAGGAAAATTCAAAGAAGAAGATTGTTCCTATAACAGTGTTCTGTCGGTACTTTCTGTCAGTGATTTCTGCAGGACTACTATGTGCGTAGTAGTCCAACTGTTAAAATCACAGTTGGACATAGAGAGGATATTTGGGCTGGGGTTTGGAATTCATTGGCCTTTGGTGGGAGGGGTCACAGAGCTGTTTGAATAATCGGCTAATGTGTTACAAGTAGTGATTTATCAGAGATGTACAGAGCAGAAGGGTTTAAAACAAAAAAAAAATACAGTTACACCAGCCAATTTACTGCATTTTAAAATTATGCAATCCATACATTATTAGTAAAACTACTATTTTGTGCCCCTCTCCTACAGAATCTTTTTACTGATCCTATTAATCACCCCAATTCTTTAGAACAAAGTGCCACAAATTTCTGGCAGAAAAACACAGGCACATACTCACATTTTGAGTGCTCTATGACAGCTTGTTTAAATTGCATTAATTGCTGGGTATTGCACAATCCAGCAAGTGCTTAATTCACATTTCTGTTTTGATTTTGACCATAGAGAGCAAGCATCACTGTCTGTCTTCTGTCTTGCGTGTTTGGTATGCACAACCTCTATTTTATTTGGTGCAAGCAAACATTTATGTTGGTATTTTATAGAAAGGCTTAAAGTGATGGTTCTGTTATAAGTATTTAAAAGGTAAATGAATGCACACTCCTCCCCCTGCTGGATATGGAAGACATTACAACTGGTTTTCCTAAATGCCACTTATGGGTGTTCCTACTCATGGTTGCATTGTCCATGCCACAGGCAAGGTGTATCATTACTGCTAAGAATCGGCTAAGCATCCATCATCGTCCTATTAGGGTCCAGGTGGCCATTTTAAGTGGCTGTATATACTGTGAGGGGCGAGTAAGACTAGAAGGAAAAACTATATAAATCCAGTACATTTAACCCTTTTAGGGTTTTCCATCAGAGTATGTCGACTGCGCTGTTTTAACCCTTTAAAGCCGGTCAGAGCGGGCATGCTCCGTTTTGCGCAACTACTTTTAAATCCCTGTAGAACTGCAACCACATAAGCTAGCGCAATAATTTTTTTTGCATATGAAACCGGAGGAGTTGTACTTACATCTTATGCCATCAGCTTGTCCTATATATGTATATATATATATGTGTGTGTATATATATATATGTGTGTGTATATATATATATGTGTGTGTATATATATATGTGTGTGTATATATATATATGTGTGTGTATATATATATATGTGTGTGTATATATATATATATATATATATATATATATATATA